AACAAGTGACCTAAAAACCACCAGTAAAAACAAAGCCTTGAATGTTGCCCTAAGGGTCCTGTGGAAAAGTGATGTGGCAGAGAATAAGCACGCTTATTGAAGTTGTGTTTTAAATAAAGGTGACCATCTGCTCTCTCAGGCAAAATGGCGAGCTTCTTTATTTGCGGTTGGTTTATATAGGGAATTTTGTACATGTGCACAATACAGCAATGACCTCACTGGATCCATTTAAACATCATGTGACTACCTCATGATTAGCTTCCAATAATCCACTCAACATACACTTTTTGACATAACCCTATCAACATAACCCAATTTAACAAAATTTAATGGAGAACATGTTGTTAGCCATTACTTTTTTGTTCTTATCTGATGATGCCTGAGGCTATGGAGGAACAAGTTAGATTGAATACCTGCCCTTGCTGGCCTTGCTGTTTGGAGGCTGGTACTTCAGATCTTTAAACAAGGCATAAAGAAACTTCTTAGGCATACAGGAATTTGTGTGCAGACTTCTGCTCCCATGTAGGCCTTAAGTCAGGGAGTTTTTGCTGGAACATTTATAAGGTATTTTCAGGCCGGACTTCTCAAAAGCCTTTTACGAGACCAAGTTTCATCTGTGCCATTAGATACCTGTATGCATTAGGTAAATTCCTCTTCTCTTGAGGTCCCTGAGCACATTTCCATTCTTGGACCCATCAGCAAGCGACCTTCGTTATTTACCACAGATGAGGAAAGGTTACTGATGGATATCTGGCCAGTTTTCAAAAGGGCTTTTTTATTGGCCTTATAAAGTCAACCTTAATTCCTTAATGCAGTAAATGCTATTCTAGCCAAAGCCTTGATCATGCTAGGCTCATAACCAACCTTGCCACATGGGATTCTGCCTCAGTTTCTTTTTATTTTTTTATTAAATCATAGCTGTGTACATTAATGCAATCATGGGGTACAGTGTGGTGTTTTCATATACAATTTGAAGTATTTTCATCAAACTGGTTAATAGTTTCTTACAAGTATGCCTACACAAAGTCTTTTCACTGCTCTCTCACAAACAGCTTTTTTGGCCAGAGGCATATAGGCGTTTTGCCTATTTAAAATAACGGGGGAAAAAAAGTTACTAAATAGACTGAGTTACTTCTACTTAAAGCACCAGTGTCAACACAAAAACAGCTATGCAAAAAAAAATTGTCATAAACTTCCATATATAATGTTGAATTTTGTAATATTTTTATTACTACATTCTTGTTTTATGTATAATTGTGATTTAGTATTTTTGCTTATGGCCACCAATTTTGAATTTATAAAAGAAAGTCATTGGCTTTATAAAGGTTTCTCCTTTATTCTTACCTAATTATTAAGTCTGGGAATCCTCAAACATAACCATCAATTATAATCACATATCATTACAATGGTTAGAGTTACAGAAACCACACAAAGCTCGTTGTATTTGAAAGAGCTACACACTGCTGTCATTACAGTTCTAATGAACTTTCTTGGTAGCAGTATGTAAAAAGTGAGATGATTTGTTATAGTAGATGCCACTCCCTGTGCAGGATACCTAAGTAGAAATATTGAGAAATCTTAGCTCCTTTGCTATTATAAGCCAGGAAATCTAGCCACACAGCTCAATGTTTTCGGCCTCTAACCCTTTCTATATTTGTTTTTCAGATGTTTAATTGAATCAAAATGTGTTGTACTTTGCATGTAATTATTATTCTTTCATATAAATTATTTACAGATGATTATATAATGACCTCAGGTACTCAGCCTTTTTATAAACATTCAATGGTAACTTCAAACAAAAATATATTCAATCTCATCTAAAAGCATGTTTCCAATATACAATCATTACTTTTCTGAACATATTCTGGGAGTGTGTGTGAGGTTTCTTTGCAAGTTTTCTAGTATACTTAGTGTAAAATTTAAACAGCTGAAGAAGATAGAGAGTCAGTTACTTGTCAATTTATTTTTGTGATTTTAAAAGATAAAAACAGAGTTTCTACAAATTTTCAGACTATACTGATATGAATGCTCCCTCAACAATGACAGATTAAATGGGTAAATAGGGCCTAACAAAAACAGAGATCACATTTAGAGAAAAATAAATATCCAGATGCTGGAAATGAAATAAGAACAAAAAAGCTAGAAGAAGATTGCTGTCTTAAGCCAGTAAGTTTTGAGGTGGTTTGGCAAAGGTGGATTAGATCAACCTAATAAAATATAATCTATATGTACAAATAGAATAGACACATCTTTATACCAAAAACTGAAATATCTATTTTATGTACATCTCATAAAGTACTACTAATATCTTCCAAGAATAAAGAAACTGAACCTGGAAAGAAGTAGCTGGATGATACAAACTAATAAATTTATTGGCAAAGTAAATAAACATTACTTGTGCAAAGTGATGATAATAAAGACTAATTTGTGGAAGTGGGCAGTGGAGCATTAAAATATCAAGCCACAAAAAATACCAAGAAGTATGAGCATATGATCAGAGCTAAATTCCTGAGTCCAACATCCAGACCTCTCCCCTGGATCCCTGCAAACCACTCGAGTCTGGGGATTATGGTGTCTGGCTGCTTATCTGACCCACTAGCAGTGACTCCACAAAATGCCATCAGAATTGGGCACCATGGATCCACTGCAGGCCCCACTCTTCACAGATGATATGATTTTATACCTGGCAAACCCCAGGGACTCAACCACAAAACTCTTAGAAGTGATCAAGGAATACAGTAGCATCTCAGGATACAAAATCAATACTCACAAATCAGTAGCTTTTATATATATTCCAATTATATTCAAGCTGAAAAAACAGTCAAGGACTCTATTCCCCTTACAGTTGTGCCAAAGAAGATGAAATATTTGGAAATTTACCTAACAAAGGGCATGAAAGATCTCTATAAAGAGAATCATGAAACTCTGAGAAAATAAATAGCTGAAGATGTTAAGAAATGGAAAAACATACCATGCTCATGGCTAGGAAGAATCAACATTGTTAAAATGTCCATATTACCCAAAGCAATTTACAAGTTTAATACAATCCCTATCAAAGCACCACCATTATACTTAAAAGATCTGGAAAAAATAGTACTTCATTTCATATGGAACCAGAAAAAACCTCAAATAGCCAAGACATTACTCAGAAATAAAAACAAATCAGGAGGAATTACGCTATCAAACTTCAAACTATACTATAAATCTATAGTGATCAAAACAGCATGGTATTCACACAAAAATAGAGAGGTAGATGTATGGAACAGAATTGAGAACCAAGAGATGAACCCAGACATTTATCATCATTTGAACTTTGATAAGCCTATCTAAAATATAAATTGGAGGAGATATTCCCTATTTAACAAATGGTGTTGGGAGAATTGGTGGACAACTTGTAGAAGACTGAAACTGAACCAATACCTTTCACCGTTAACAAAAATCGACTCAACTGGATAAAAGATATAAACTTAAGACATGAAACTATAAAGATTCTTGGAGAGAGTCCAGGAGAAACACTTGAAGAAATTGGCCTGGGAAAATACTTTATGAGGAGGACCCTCTGGGCAATTGAAGCAAAAATACATTACTTGGACCTGATCAAACTAAAAAGCTTCTGCACAGCCAAGAACACGGTAAGTAAAGCAAGCAGTCAGCCCTCAGAATGGGAGAGGATATTTGCAGGTTATGCTTCTGACAAAGGTTTGATAACCAAAATCCACAGATAACTCAAACTTATTAATAAGAAAAGTACAAGTAATCCCATTTCATTGTGGGCAAGAGACTTGAACAGAAGCTTCTCTGAAGAAGATAGGCACATGGCCTATAGAAACATGAAAAAATGCTCATCATCTTTAATCATCAGAGAAATGCAAATCAAAACCACTTTGAGGTGTCATTTAACTTCTGTAAGAGTGCTTCACATAACAAAATCCCAAAACTACAAATGTTGGCATGGATGTGGAGAAAAGGGAACACTTCTGCATTGCTGGTGGGAGTGCAAGCTAATATGTCCCTTTTGGAAAGAAGTATGGAGAATACTCAGGGATCTAAAAGTAGACCTGCCATTTGATCCTGCAATTCCTCTACTAGGTGTATATCCAAAAGACCAAAAATAACTTTATAATAAAAATATTTGCACCAGATTGTTCATTGCAGCTTAATTCATAATAGCCAAGTTCATGGAAGAAGCCCAAGTGCCCATTGACCCATGAATGAATTAATAAATTGTGGTATAGGTATACAATGGAATATTATGCAGCCTTTAAAAAAGATTGGGACTTTACCTTTTTTATGTTTACATGGATGGAGCTGGAACATATCCTACTTAGTAAAGTATCTCAAGAGTGGAAGAAAAATAATCAGTACTCAGTACTATTATGAAACCAATTTACACTCACTCACTCTTTCACATGAAGAATAGATCACAACTATGGCCCAAGGTGAAGGAGGGAGGAAGTGGGTATGGGAGGGGAGAGTGGAGGTCAGACTGAGGGAGGGTGAATGGTGGGATCACACCTATGGTACATAATGCAAGGGTACATCTATTAGTATAGAGTATAAATGTCTTGACACAATGATTAAGTAAATGAGATGAGGTATACATTAACCAGTGTGATGTAAGTATTCCTAATTCTATATGAAATCAGCACATTGTATCCCATAAATGCATTAATGTATACATGATCTATGTGTTTATGATTTAATAAAAAAATAAAAAATAAAATAAAAAGTTAAAACAAGTGTAAATGACCTTAAAATAATAACCAAAGAAAACCATTAATGAATCATGAAGGAAATTAACACCCCTTTAAAATAAAAAAATGAAAATCCTAAGATGTTAACATTACTAGTCAAAATTTTTAAAATCTAAATAGATATTACTAAGATTCCTTTTGTTTTCAAAAGGTATATTTGAACTGATTTCTCAATGTGTATGCTTGTCTACTTGTGAGTCTTAGGACCTCCAAACAAGTATAGTTTTTAAAATAATTTCTGGAAAGTTTTCAGGAGAAGATCCTTGTGTTTTATTTGTAAATACAGGAAAACTTGCAAACCTGATATACCATGAACTAGTACAAAGTGGTCATGAAGCTCTTGGCTACTAAATGTACCTCTCACATATTTCAGTAAGATCTTTTTTTAGCAAATAGTAGAAAAGAAAGTCATATTTTTAAAAATTCCAAGTTTGTAATTTTATATCCACAATAACAAGTGGTTGGCCCTTTGGTTGATTTTACCAATATTTTGTATTGTCTTTATCACAGATTTTCTATCACCCCTAAGATTGAGGGGAAAAATAATTTTTAAATTTATTCATTAACTAAATATATAAAATATGCCTGATATTGATATTAAATATTCTTTAAAATTATATATGCAGCTATTTATTACATAAAACAAGTCTAAGGGACACCAACCAAAACTGTTAGGTCTAAGCTTTTAAGGTTCATCTGAATGAGGAAGGAGTCTCCATCTCATTGTTGTATCAACTTCTTCATCAAAATTTTCCTCCTCCTGCTCCTTAGAAAGCTCTAAGAATATCTAAATAGGAGACAAAGAAAAAGGGGAAAAATACCAAGTTCTTGACTGTCTGTCAAAGGTACAGGGGGAAAATGCATATTGTTTTCATGTGAAATTTATAGGAATGATACGAACTCAAACCAGTTGACTCACCTTTTCCAATGTGCACTGAGAGAGGCTATATTCTTCCAGGTTAAACTTACATTTTGCTGAAGAGAAGAAAATCAAGACTAGCAGTAGATACTTAACATTCATTTTTTTCAAAGTCATATAAAATTACAAATGTCAATCATTAATATCAATAGAAAATAAATCTGAATAAAGAAATACTTGATGGAAAGACAAAATGATAAAGGACAACGCAATGTACACATTAAGTCAATCATGATGTTTCGATAATATCGGTTTTGTTATTTTATGTATGCTTGTTCCTTGAGCTCTTCACCACCATGCTGTGCTGAGAAATTGCACCATGACAGTCTGCTATTGGGAATGATGCAGTTAAAAGCAGAAAAAATGATGATGGAAGAGAAAGAATGGTTAATTTCAAGTATCAAGAGGAGTTAGGCACTTTGCACAGAGTAGTCTTAGCTATTAGGAAAGAGGTCGAATAAACCGACACAGACACAGGAAGCTAATGGACAGATAGAAAGTTTCTCTCTTCTTTTTTTTAAATTAGTGAAATGTAAAGCAAGGGCATCCACCAAGGGAGAAAAGCGAGAAAGATATATATAAGTAAGGAAAGAGGAAGAATGAAATAATAATTTAGGGCACTTGGTGTGAGTGCACAAAGCAGGCCACCTAAAGGGGCCTTTTGAAGTTAATGGCATGGTTGTTAACATTCTCTGCAACTTTAGTTCCTGCACTGGAGACTACCTCTTTCCAGAGAATTGGATAAACCGAAGTTTGGGTTAAATCCCTATTATTTCCTATAAAAATTCTTAAAAATTATGCCCTACAGGGCCTATTTTTTTTTCTTTTGAGACAGAGTCTCACTTTGTCACCCTTGGTAGAGTACTATGGCATCACAGCTCACAGCAACCTCAAACTCCTGGGCTTATGCAATTCTCTTGCCTCAGCCTCCCAACTAGCTGGGACTACAGGAACCTGCCACAATGCTCGGCTATTTTTCAAGACAAGGTCTCGTTCTGGCTCAGGTTAGTCCCGAACCTATGAGCTTAGGCAATCCACTTGTTTTGGCCTCCCACGTGCTGAGATTACAGGCGTGAACCACTATGCCCAGCCTCTTTTATATGTCACACAAGTATCTCCTATCATGTTATTATCAAAAATTTATTTGAATATTGTCACTCTTACCTGTTTCTAATTTGTGAAAGGCCTGAGATAAGGGGTAAACATCTGCCAAGCATAATTTATAGGTCAACAAGGAGGAATATCTGAAAATAATAAAAAAAAAATGTTCTATTTGATTCTGAGTTTCCAGGGGAGAAAAATGAGCATCAAAGTAAATATTCATATTAGCAACAATTTCCTTTCTTAACATAAAAGCAATTCAAATTAATGTATGACCCATAGTATCAGAAATCAAATCATTTAACAATGGAAACATTTTTGAAGTAATTAGTAACTGGCTGTGGTAGACAGTTCTCCTAGTGATAGCATAATTGCTTATGCACTCAGTTTATGCACACCTTCTGATTGTCGAAACATATTTTGAACTGTTCCCTTTGATTGATTCAAATTATCATAGGTTAAGAACTAATCCCAAAATAAAAAGTTCATTCTTGTCACCAGAAAGCTAACTTGTAAAGAGATTTATGAGGTTGGGAGAGTTGGAATAACAGTAGGAGAAGGATTTAGAAGATTTTAATTAAAAACTTCCCTGATCACTAAGGAAGAGCTGGAAATCATTTTGGGCATCTTGTTTCCATGTGTTAGTTCTGGCCATAAAAGCTCATGCCCTATTCTCAGCTTATTGCCAAGTTGGAGTTTGGTGCTCTCAGGAGGCCCAAAAGTTGACCAGACTTCTAAGAATGGCCCTATTCAGACCAGCCCTTGCTTGTCCTGTCTTACCATTTATGATCTTTCCACCTGTTATAAAAACTGCTCCCCTGATTTGTGACCCCTCAGTCTGGGAAGAGGAGTAACTTATATATATCCTGGCATGTATCCTAGATATTCCTATTGCATATACACTGTGCTAAGATAAAAACAGATGCTTTTCTTTCCTGGTTTTTTGATGTGCTTATCCCTTCCAAGGAATTTTAAATTTAGTTTCTGGTCTACTTCTTTGCCTTCCCCCAAATAACATACAGACACACACAAAGGCACACCTACATATATATGTGTGCACATGTGCACACACACCCCTTTCTATTTTCAGGCATAAAAATTCCATTAAAGGAAGACTCTTTGGTGTCTTAATGGGCACAATGAAGGGTGTATGACACACCTCTGGGATGCAGGACGCAACGCCAAGAGGGACTCTACCTAAGAAATGCAAACACGGTAACCCAGTTGTTTGTACCCTCACATTATTCTGACTTTTTTTAAAAGAAAAAGACTGAAAAAAAAAGAGGGAAGATTCTGCTTATCTCAATTGCTGTTTATTTCCTATGGGGGGAATTCACCCTAAATATTTACATCTTCTAAATTTTAAATATTTATGAGAAAGGTCAGGGAGAATGCCATGAAGCCCATGATGGTTCTCTGTGGGTCTGGGTCACCTAGAAATCCCTGCCCCCTAACGTTTCCAAGTTCTTCTCTAGAGCTGCAGAGCAGCCCAGGATGGCTGAGAAGAGTCTACTCAGCCTGCCCCAGATGGGACACAGTTTCCTGAGTGGTTCCAAATTTCTTCCAATCTGGAAGAATCAACAAATCCGTTTTTGAGGTCTCTAATATTTTATTATGAATTCAAATCATGAAGTTCTTACAGAACACAAAAGGTACCACTAAGTGAGTAAAGCCTACATATTTCTCCATAATTAAATGCTCTTCTTACCTTTCCCGTTGAACAGCCTGTGGGAAAAGTTTCAGAATCTCCGTGTGGACCAAAGTCACTTGAGAAGTTTCCTTCACTTTTATTTCTAAAATGTAATCTTTGCCAAATTTGTTTTTCAGGTGTTGGATGGAACCGATGCATCTATGGTAGAGAAACAAAAGAAGAACATGTTGAAAAATATTGCTTTTAATTTTGTTACGTTATTCTCAAACTTCCAATGTAGGAGAAAGAATGTGACTGAGGAAGACAAAAGGAAGGCTTCTGCAGCTCTTCCCTCGTGATTCTGCCTTTTCCGTGGGGACTCTCCTCTGGGGCATCAGGTGCAGGCTCTGGAGAGACACCCACCTCAGCCTTCCAGACACCATGATGGCCACACGGTCACACAAGGCCTCGGCCTCCGCCAAGTAATGGGTAATCAAAATGACACTGCTCTCTGTGTGTTTAACAGCTGCCCGGATTGCCTGCCTGAAATAAGCCAAGAAGTTAGCCACATATTTTTAAGTGCAAAAAAGATAAAATGTAATATATGAGTCCTATTCAAATCCTAATTAAAAATAAAAAAAACAGTGGAATGTAAATACCTATTAGGAGTTTTTGATAACATAAAGAAAATTTTCAAATATTTTAGATATGCTAATCATATTGTTAAGTTAAAAAAGACATCTTTTAGAGATACTGAAATATTTATAAATAAAAGGATACACTGCCTAGTATTTCCTTCAAAATAATTGGAGGGTGAGGAAAGGAAATGGGAATGGCCTTCCATTTATTGATAACTCTTGAAACCGGGGGATGGGAATAATGGATTCATAAGTGATTCTCTCAACATTTGTATAAAATCACTATGGTGAAGTTGTTTTTAAAGTTGGGAAAATATTGGACAGTCACAAATATGAGACTAGATTGAAGATTTTTATCAGTTCAAAAGGTAAGTTCTAGATAGCAAGAAAAAACAGAGAAAAACTGAATAAACAAATTAGACGGGTTAGGTCAAAAAGGAAAAAAAAAGGAAATGGGGAGATTGTGTCAGAAACTTAATGGTCTCCAAGGAAACAAAATAGAAAAGGAAAAGGGGGGCAGTTAGAGACATCCCAATAATTAAATGGCAAAATATTTCTGTGTTGTAACAGACCAGATTCAAAACCTAAAACTCCAACAGTTACTTTTTTTTAACCTGAATACCACTTGAATAAGATGCAGATTAGATAAACTATTTGTTAATTTTTTTTCTTAATAACATAAGCTGTGTCCAGTGAATCAGGGTACGGTTTATCTGAGGGTTGATTTTTCAAGATCCATTTAAAAATGCGTCTTTACCTAACATTTATACCTGTGGCTTTGAGGGTTACAGTAATGCTCACCACATTTGCTGCTGCCCTGTGGGATCCATGCCTGTGGAGGGTTCATCCAGAAGCAGGATGGGTGAATTTCCCAGGATACTCAGCACGAAGCACAGCTGCAATGCAGAGAGACACTCCTGTTAGCTGTCACATCACGCCATCCCTCAGGAGAGTGTCAAACACCATACCTACCTTTCTGGCGGCTCCTGCTGTTAATTTCTGCACTGGCACATTCAGCTGCTCGTGTAGTTTGAAAGCATCCACTAACCTGATGATGAAAGATAAGATGACAATACCAGGTCAAATCCAATCATAAAGAACAGTAATAACGGAAGAGAGAAGCTGGACGATATTATTGCCAAAACTCTAACTTGTGATAAGGGGGGGGGGGGTCTATTTATTTTGAAACACGAAAGACTTTTCACCTCATAAAAAGTTTTAACAAAAACTACAATATTGAGTGAGAAACTGAAAATGGCTGATTACTCCTTTCCGGGTTTTTTAAATTAGAAAATGGAAATGGATAATGATTGATTCACTAACTCCTCATCAATTACTTTCTTTTTTCTTTTTCTTTTTTTTTTCTGAGACAGAGTCTCACTATGTCACCCTTGGTAGAGTGCTGTCACAGCTCACAGCAACCTCAAACTCTTGGGCTTAAGTGATTCTCTTGCCTCAGCCTCCAAGCAGCTGGGACCACAGACACCTGCCACAAAGCCCAGCTGTATTTTGGTTGTAGTTGTGATTGTTGTTTAGCAGGCCCAGGTCAGGCAGGAACTTGCCAGCCTCTGTGTACGTGGCAGGTACCCTACTCACTGAGCTACTGATGCCAAGCCCTCATCAATTACTTTTACACAATCATTTTTTTAAAAGGTCCCTTATTTAGGGATGCAGGAACCAAGCTCTTTTCCATCATCAATGCTCTGCTACTAACAGTCTGAGAAAGGTGGAGACATCATTTCCAGTCTCCATTCTTTATTAGTGAATTCATCGTTAGTAGTATAGCCTCCTGCTTCTTGGCACAAAGGACCTCTCTGTACCGTGTGATGGCAACATTTGCATCTCCTTTCTTCAGCCCTTTCACAGTGGCATACATCTCCAGGTGCTCCCTCACTGTCAGCATGGGCCACAGCGCATTCTCCTGAGGACAGTACCCCAGGAACTTGACGGGGCCTTCTCCCTGGTGGCTGGAAATGGAACTGCATCCTTTCAGTTCCACCTAAAAAAGTATAGAAGCTTTAGAAACACATGTAGTTTTTTTTCTAAACACACAATTCCTCAAGAATCTGACATATAGTTAATAAAAGCCTAAATTGTTTGAGCATTAAAAAATATTATAGAAATTACTTCATATATTTGTTATAGAAAACAATTTAAATTACTAATATAAAAGTGTAGTCTTATATCGGGGGGGTGGGAACCCTAATAATCTTGGGTGGTTCCTGAGGAACTGTGATGAAAAAGTCATTGGTTCTTGGTGACATCCCAACTCATAATAAACCTTTGCTAACCAGAAAAAATAATAAAAGAGGGAAAATAAATAAATAAAGAAAGAAACCACCAGTATAGTCTTACAAAGACATAATCTATCTTTGTCATGAAATTTCTATTTTGGGAACAGAAACAATTTCCTCATTTTTCATTACCTCTCCAGTTGTCGGTTTTGTGATCCCAGATATCATTCTAATAGATGAACTTTTACCAGCACCATTGGGTCCTAGCAACCCCAAAATTTCACCTGAAAGAAAGAATCATATTATCAATATTGTAAGTGAAATATTCATTAACATAAACTTTCTTCCACAATGAAATCTTCTGAGATCTGGGCACCCCTCAATACCATCTTAAAATTTATAACATACATGGGGGCTGAAGCAAGATGGTGGACTAGTGACACCTTTTTTATAGCCAGATGTGGTGAAACTGGGGAGAGAAGATGTCAGGCACCTCTGCCTTGTGGGCTCTGCCCAGAAACATCCCTTTGGTGGCATAGGGAGGCAGTGGGAGACTTCAGGACCCAAGAGGAGGACAAAAGCAGTGGAGAAGCATCCTTTACCAAAAGGACACTTTAACACCTCAGGTCAGAGGCACAGTTTTATTTAAAGAGCAAGAAGTGAAAGGAAAAAATAGGGTAGGGCAATAGATAGAAAGAAAATACTCATGAGGAAGAAACAGCAGAAAAATCCTGGCAACATGAAAAACCAAAATAGAGCAACCCCCACAAGGGTTCATGAGATGGCTACCACAGAGGATTCCACCTATAAAGAAAAGTTAGAAATGACAGGTGGGGAAATTAAAATATGGATGGCAAAAACAATGAAGGAAATTGCTGAGAAAGTGGAAAATAACCATAATAAAAAGAAATCCCCAAACAGAATCAAACAAGAGATGAATGACAGGAAGAATATAGAAAGGATATAATGGAGTTGAAGGAACTGAAGCAGTCAGGGAATTTAAAGATGCAGTAGAAAGTCTCAATAACAGATTAGACCAGGCAGAAGTAAGAACCTAAGAAGGAGAGGACAAAGCTCTTGAGCTAACTCAGGCAGTTAAAGAGAGAGAAAGCAGAATGTTCACTAACAGAATTATGGGACTTCATGAAGCATTCAAACACATGAGTTATAGGTATCCCAGAAGGGGAAGAAGAATGCCCCAGAGGCATGGAAGCTTTACTAAAGGATATTATAAGTGAAAATTTCCTAAATATAACCAAAGATTCTGACACACTCCTTTCAGAGAAATATTGGACATCAGGTCATCTCAACTCAAATAGAACTTCTCCAAGACACATTGTCATGAACCTGTTCAAAGTTAAGATGAAAAAGAAGATTCTGCAAGCTGCCAGGAGTAAGCAGCAATTGGCCTGCAGGAATGGCTTGTGCTTTTTTTATCCAATCAGCCAGCCTACGCCTCTTCAGTGGGGAATGCAAGCCACTCAATCACAAAACTGGAAGTCATCAGGAAATACAGCAATGTCTCAGGGAATAAAATCAATGTCCACACATTTGTATGTGCCAATAACAGCCAAGTTGAGAAGCAAGTCAAGGACACAATTCCCTTCATAGTAGCTTCAAAGAAAATGAAATACTTAGGAATAGACCTAACAAAAGAGGTGAAAGATCTTTCCAAAGAGAATTATGAAACCCTAAGAGAAGAAATTGCGGAAGATACTAATGAATGGAAGAACATACCATGCTCTTGGCTGGGAAGAGTCAACAGAAACCAAACAGCATGATATTGGCACAAAAATAGAGATGTAGACATATGGAACAGAATAGAAAACCAAGAGATAAAACTAGTCTCTTATTGCCATCTGATCTTTGATAAACCAAATGAAAGCATACAGTGGGGAAAGGAATCCCTATTCAACAAATGGTGCTGGGCGAACTGGATAACCACATGTAGAAGACTGAAACTTGGCCTGCACCATTCCCTCCTTACAAAAATTTACTCAAAACATATAAGAGACTTAAACCTAAGACACAAAATGATAAAAATCTTAGAAGAAAGTGTGGGGAAAACTCTTGATGATGTTGGGCTGGGGAAAGATTTTATGACAAAGACTTCAGCAGTCATCACAACAACAACAAAATTTAACAAATGGGACTTAATTAAGCTGCAAAGCTTCTGCACAGTAAAGTAAAATGACAAATTTCAGAATGGAAAAGATATTTGCAGGTATTAATCCGACAATGGGTTGATAACTAGGATCACTAGGATCAAATTAATTAACAAAAAAAGAGTAAACTATCCCATCTACCTCTGGGTAAGAGATATGAACAGAACCTTTTTTGACAAAAACAGACAAATGGCTAACAAACATGAAAAAATGCGCATCATCCTCCAACATAAGAGAAATGCAAATCAAAACCACCTTGAGATATCACCTAACCCCAGTGAGAAAAGCCTATATCACAAAGTCTCAAAGCTACAGATTCTGGTGTGGATGTGGAGAGAAGGGAACACTGTCACACTGCTGGTGGGACTGCAAACTACTATAACCTTTTTGGAAGGAAGTATGGAGAATCCTCAAAGAACTCAAATTAGACATCCCATTTGATACTGCAAGCCATTACTAGGTATTTACTCAGATGAAAGAAAATCACTTTATCATAAGGACATTTGCACTAGACTGTTTATTGCCTCTCAATTATCAATTGCCAAAATGTGCAAGCAACTGATTAACAGGCTGTGGTATGTGTATACCAAATACTATTATGCCATTAAAAAAGATGGAGACTTTACATCTTTTGTATTAACCTGGATCGAGTTGGAACACATTCTGCTTTGTAAAGCATCACAAGAATGGAGAAGCAAGAATCCAATGTACTCAATTCTAATATAAAGGCAGTAGATGAGAGGTGGGGTTAGAGAAATGAGGCTCACGGTTTATGGCAAACCTCTTGGGGGCAGGGCACAATTACAAGAGGGACTTTACCTAACAAATACAATCAGTGTAACCTAATTCTTTGTACCTTCAATGAATACCAAACAATAAAAAACAATTATAACAAACATGTATTTCACGTCATCAAACTATGTTCTTTAATTCATATAATTATGTAAAATGATAGTGTAAAGCTTGTGAATTTGATGTCAATAAATTGGTCTTTTTCCCCCAATATTGCTGATTTCAGTTAACAATGGTCTCAACTGTTTTCTGTAGCACTTGGTTGGTGCACTGAATACATGCATAAATGATTCCTAAACCTGGCAAGTCAGGATGATTTTCTTCATCTCGGGTACAATCACCCATGTTCAAGCCACCATCATCCTTCATCTGAGCTGATAGGAAAGTCTTTTAACTTGCCCCCCACCCTAATTCATGAAAAAACAGTAGTCCAGTATATAAAGGTCTCAAAACATAAATTAAATCATGGCACAAATGTGCTAAACACCCTCCAATGGCATTCCATTAACATTGTATGAAGTAGACACTCCTTGCTGTTCAAAACAGCCATACAAATATGGCCCTACTCACCCCCTAGACTCAAGTCTTCCTTTTGTGGATATGTCCACTGGCCTCTCTGTTTAAAAATCAGTAACTCCAAATGTGTGTGAGTCCCTGCCCTCACTGTTAACTCCACCTGCCTGCTCTTATCACCCCTTAATTCTCACATAGATGGCACCTTCTTATCACCCCGATGTTGGTTTAAGCTCAAGTGAGGCCTTCCCTGACCCTCATCAAATGCAGCCTGTGTCACTCATATCAATTCACATACCTCACTGTGCCACAAAGAACTTACTCTATACCTGATGCCTTTCTTCATAAGTCATTTTTATTTATGAACCCCCTCCTAAAATGTAAACCCCACAAGGACAGGAACTTCACCTATTTTCTTCATAATTGTATTTGCTGAGCCTAAAACAGTCCCTGGCACACTAAAAAACTATATGTTGAATGAGTGGATGGATGCTTCTACAAGTAAAACTGTGCCTATAACACAGGTGTGCAGTGGACATTTCTAAAAACAGTGGCGAATTGAAAGAGTGATTATTCCAAACCTTTTTCAACACAGAAAGAGATATTTCTTGTTGCTATTTTCTTCTTCCTTTTTGAAAAGCAATTTTTCTTCTGGCCTGCATATTCTTTGTGTAGACAGCTGGCAATTATGACTGATGTCTAGAAGAGATGACAGCATAATTTTCCTCTTAAATTTCAGAGACTTTATGTCCCTGCTGGAACCTTTCACTCCCTATGCCATAAACCAAATTGAGTGAGTTAAACCAAACACTCCTGAGTTGAGTGTTTCATGTTCATTGTTACAAATACAATATGCATCCACTAACATGGACAGTATTTCTTGTGTTTAAATAGACTGAGAAAAAAAACCAAAGTTTCACAGAAGCCACCTCATTGTCTTGCCAGAACAGAAGTGACTAACATCATGGAAACACCACAACATATAAGTCAAATAAAAGAATAGCCCTTAAAGTCTTAAATCTCTACTTACAATTTTATAAAAAATATAACTTAAATTCTTTAAGTTAAAACCAAGGTCTTGTTTGGTTTTTAAATTATAGCTCTAATTATCAAAACTCATTTTTCTCAAAAGAAGAATAAAATCCCTATGTTACCTTCCAGGCCACTCCAAAAAGTGCCTGTGTATTTAAGGTTTACAAAAATGTACCAAACCCCAAACGTTCAAAATGGAAACCAGTCTACCAAATTCTGCTCTTGACAGTTCCTAGCTGTTTCCATTAACACCTATTTGGTCACATGCTTTTCTACCTCATCTAAGTTTGAAGTGGTCAGGGCAGTTGTTGTTCTTATTCTTTCTGCTTGAACATCCTCATCTTCATCTATAGGTTCTTCTGGATTTGGTCGAGCCTCTCTACTTTGGGGGGAGAGTCTGTGGAGAAAATAAAATACGTTATATGTGGTTTTCTGGCTGTGAGAGTGTATCCAACATCAGTGTCCCTGGGATTTTACCTGTCTCATTTTTCAATGGGTCAGTGAGCGTGATGATGACGATGATGATGACTCTGTCAATTTGCTTTCACTTTTGCTGAGGATGACCACCCCGCTGGCCACCACCCCTCTCTAGGTGCTGTTGTCATTCTCTCGGTAAGCATCTACAATCCTTCCAAATCTGTAGGTAAATACTGCTCCTCACCCTTTAAAATTCAGGTCGCTCATTTTCTCTGCTCACTCTGAACCCATCTTAATCATACTAGGTATTTTTTTACTTCTCATCCTTTCCAGAGTCCTTCCACTTTTAGAAGACTCTGAACTATGTTTCTAAATCCATTCCATCCAGTCTCTTCTGTTCAAGGAAGTATACAACACCCTCGGATGAAAGAATAGCATGTCTGGGTACTCATGAAAGTCCCCCCATCCCAGCTGCTAAGTGGCAGAACTCTTCCTGGGAGGCCTATTTTGTGGCAGCAAATCCAGAAATCCTCTGCTGGTGAGGACAACGATCATGCTGCTTCTACTGTGAATATAAATCTGTATTAAGAAGTTGATAGTACAGCCATGATTCAGGAACATCAAAATACATTATTAATGGGTGGTACCTGTGGCTCAAAAGGGTAGGGTGCCAGCCCCATAAGCCAGAGGTGGTAGGTTCAAACCCAGTCCCGGCCAAAAAAAAAAAAAAAAAGGTATTAAGGTATGAAATTAAGTTTTATGCTGACCTGAAAACCGGATCCTTGCGTGTTCTTCTCTTTCCCCATTTTAGTTCCATGCATCTTAGAACAAAAATGAACAGCAAAGCCTGGAAGTAAGGCTAGGAGCACAGAAAGCCAGTTACATTCAGGCATAAGTTCACATCTATAACTTACACAGTTGAATTAAATGGTGGTATTCTGTCTTCAGGTAAGATAGTTGTGAAGGGTTCTTACAAATCAGGGGAGAAATGTGGCTATGCGTTCACAACCCAGCCTGGTGGAATCCTCTCACCGCTCATTTTCAGTTTATCAGTAAACTCTATCTGCGCTACCTTCGAAATTATCTACAACCCAATTGCTTCTCATCCCTACTGTGCTACTCCCACCAAAGTCTAGGTGTTTATAATTTCTCACCTGAATTATAGTCACCCTTTCCTACCTGGACTCCCTCTGCTCCTCTCCCCCTCATCATGTATTTCCAACAGAGCTGCTCTTTTAATATGTAAATGTGATTACATCACATGGCTTAACACCATCCAAGGACTTCTCCATTATTCAAAGTAGAGTCAGAGTTTTTAGAGTGACCCAGAACACCCTGTGTAACTCCTTCTCCTGACCCCATGCTTTATCCCATTACTCATATGACCATCTCTCCCGCCACCCTCTCCCTTGGTCACTCTGCTACAAGCACACTGGCTTCATGGCTGATGAGGCCTTCTACTGGAATACACTTCTCCAACCACCCATCTGACAGTATATGTTATTTTAGTTAGTTCATTATCTGTCTCCTTCCACCAGAATATAAGCTTCTTTGGGGCAGGGTTGATTCTATGCCTCCATAAGTACTGACACATGAAATTCAAAGACAGTAGCTCTCTTCAGCCTAACTATGCCAATATAATCATTTCCCCCTTTCTATTTTATTGTCCAGCTCTTGCCTTTTCATCTATAATTCAAAAGACTTAAGGTATATCACATCTGTATTTTTTAATGTACACTCTTTCAAATTTAGAGAAGTAGTAATCAGGTCAAGTAACCAAAAATTAAAATTGTGGACTTACGGAGTCCATTCATACATGTAAAAAGTAACTCTGGGGTTTGAAATCATATCCAAGTGTAATCGCTTTACCTAAAACTATATTAACAACACTTTCAAAGTTAACATACTTCAGAAAAGATCAAATAGTTCTAGTAAATGATAGCCATCCGAAAGAATATGTGGTGAGGTGGAAAAGCCTTCTTACTATCAGACAGACTAGAAGATCAGCTTCATTGAGGTCAAAATTTGATTCTTGAAATGTCACATAATGCTCGTGGGATCTCTGAAAAGACAAAAAAAAAAAAGTGCCTAAATGAAAATTCATCAGCTTTATGACTTGCACTTAAATGATACAAGATTTCACAGACTGGCTCTTCCCTCTTCACACTTCCTCTGCGTGTTCTGGTAACACAGTAATCCCGTATACAGAAGGAGAGGCACCTCCTGACTGTCTCTCAATGAGCAGCCAACCTGTGTCTGCTCTTCTCTTCCAACACTTCTTAAAATTTTTTAATCTTTTGGTTTTAACATTTGCTGAAAATCTACCAAAAGCTAGTAGAGAGAGGTGCTGGTACTGGTAGAATTTCTAGTAGTTGATGATATTTGTCCTAAATGATCTCCTCACTTGGCCCCTTCTTACCCCAGTGGTGACAACTTTCCCATCCTGTTAATTAGACCCAATGTATTATTCTCTGCACTTCATCAGTCAATTCATTCAGAATGTAATTCTACCTTTCAAAATAATATGTGACAGGTCAAGGTACATGTGTTTCACCTGGCAAGCCTACTTATATTTTAGGAGAAAAATGCTTCAAGCTAAGAAATGAGCTTCTAATCAAGAATTCCAGGCATTGCTCAGCCAATAAAATAGTATTTTTGCAAATGGAAGGCTTTCCTGGTTCACCAACAATATACAAGATCAGGGAAACCTACTTCTTTTGAAAGCCATGTTAGGGTAGTACAGGGTCCCAGAAAGTGTGTTCTCCGCTGAATTATCTTGCTGTGGCCTCATTGTATACTTTTCTCCAGTTGAAACACATGAGATTTCTCTAATGCTTCGTGGCCTTTTTGCTTTAATGCCCTTTTTCCCTCTGCAGAACATGCTCACCACCTGTCCCACTCTCCCACTAATTAATTCTTAAGGAATTATTTAAACATCACTTCCCCAGAAGGATTCTCTGAGTCCAGAGCAAATCAACAGCGGCACTCTGCCCTTCCAGCTTCCATGTACTTTTGTCTCCACTAAGGTCTGGTAGAGGCAGGACTGTGCAATCTTACTCCCCAGGGGTCTCCGGTTACTAGTGCAGTGACTAGCACAGAATACTGTTTAATACATTTTCTAAATGATTAAATGGTATTGTATATTAGTTTATCCTCACAGTAATGAATACCCATCAAAATGGAGACCTCTGTTTCTTTAAATCTGGCAGAAGATTTGAATAACATTTGAAAATGCCTATATTTTGCAAAGTATATAGGATGAAACCATTTTAACAGCTTTATTGAGGTTTATTTTCTATGTCATAAAACTCTGCCTTTTTAAGAGTGCAATTCAATAATGTTTAGTAGGTTTACACAGTTTTTCTTTTCTTTTTTTTTGAGACAGAGCCTCAAGCTGTCCCCCTGGGTAGAGTGCCGTGGCATTACAGCTCATAACAACCTCCAACTCCTGGGCTCAAGTGAGTCTCCTGCCTCTGCCTCCCAAGTAGCTGGGACTACAGGTGCCCGCCACAACGCCTGGCTATTTTTGGTTGCAGCCGTCATTGTTGTTTGGCGGGTCTGGGCTGGGGATTTGAACCTGCCACCTTAGGTGTACGCGGCTGGCACCTTAGCCGGTTGAGCTATAGGCGCCGAGCCTACACAGTTTTTCAAGCATCACCACAATTCAACTTTAGAACATTTTTTATTTCTAAAAAAAAAATCCTTTACGCACATTTGCAGTCACTGTCCATCCATTCCACTCTTCTACGTTCTGTGTCTATAGATCTCGACAAACTGCTTTAATACGCTATATATTCAACATTAATGACACCATAGGCAACATTTCTTACCTCTTGTATTAAAGATAAAAATCCAAATAAGGTAAATGAAGGAACTAATACCAGGGTGGAAATTATGGTACCTAGGCCAAAATGATGGGTTAGAATGATGTTGAGCACGATGCAGGAGACCTACAAGACAAGTTGGAATGTATTTCATTAGACAAACTCAGCCCACGGATATCTGGGAAAGCATTTAAGATGTAGGAGTTCTCACCACATGTATCATATATCATCATTTTTCCATATGCATATACACCCATATGAGCATCACAGTTTCTCCTTTCAGAGAGAGAAGAAGTAAGAAACTTTTGTTAATAAGAATATATATTACATTTAGCTCCCCAACATAAAATTTTTAATAGATGGTGACTGGAGATTGAGGTAAAATCTAAAAATGATCAAATAGACTTCCGGATGGTGCATTAAGTTAAATCCTTGACAAGGGGATAAAAAGAGAAATTACCTTTTTATAGCTAAGGTAAAAACCCTCTATATGTTGAAAGTTACATGGCATCTAAACCTACTATACAAAAACAATCGATATTGCCACAGAATCTCACCTAGACTACTGTGAAGTTTTCTCGTTGTTCTCCCTGTTCCAGTTCTTCCTCATTTCAAACAAATGATATTCCTGAGATTGTCCATTTCTGTTGTAATGGACTCATTACATGAGAGGAAGGGAGAAAGAAAATATTTTCTGTTTTAAGTATCAATTTGATGTGCTGTTGAATTCAGCCTGCTAATACAGTATTTTGTTGAGAATTTTTGCATTTATTTTCATAAGAGAAATTGATCTGTAGTTTCCTTTTTTTGCTGTATCCTCTCCTGGTGTTGGTATCAAGGTGATTCTGGCTTCACAGAATGAGTTGGGAAGGATTTTCTCCTCTCTGATGTTGTGAAATAACTTCTGAAATAATGGGTACCAGCTTTTCTTTCTAGGTCTGGTAAAATTAGGCTATGAATCCATCTGGTCTGGGGCCTTTTCTTGTTGGAAGTTTTTTATAACTGCTTCGATCTTGCTGCTCATTATTGGTCTGGTTGATTCTATTTCTTCCTGATTGAGTTTTGGGGGATTGTGTTTCCAGGAATTTGTCCATTTCCTCAATGTTTTCTAGTTTATGTGCATAAAGATTTTCATAGTTATTTACCAATGACATTTTTTCATTTCTGTGGTATCAGTTGTAATATCTCCTTTTTCATTTCTGATTTAGCTTATTTGGGCCTTTTCTCTTCTTTTCCTGGTTAATCTAACAAGAGGTCAATCAATTTTATCTTTTCAAAAAGCTCAATATCACTTATCCTGAGGGAAATGGAAATTAAAACCACAATGAGGTATCATCTTACCCCTATTAAAATGGCTTTTATTAAAAATTTCAAAAACAATAGAAGCTAGCATGGATGAAGGGAGAAAGGAACGTTTGTCCACTGTTGGTAGGACTGCAAATTAGTACAACTTCTATTGAAAACGGTATGGAGATTCCTCAAAGAACTAAAAGTAGGCCTACCATTTGATCCAGCAATCCCTCAACTGGGTAACTACTCAGAGGAAAAGAAGTCATTTTATCAAAAATACACCTGAACTTGAATGTTTATTGCAGCATAACTCACAATTGCAAGATATGGAACCAATTCATGTGTTCATCAATTCGTAAGCAGATTAACAAAATGTGGTATATTTATACCATAGCATACTACTCAGTGTATAAAAGGATGAATTGATGCTCTTAGCCAATTTGGATGGAACTGGAAACCATTATTCTATGTGAAATAGCTAAAGAATGGAAAAACAATCACTATGTGTCTCATTATTAAATGTGAACTAACTGATCAACACACATGTGCACAGAGGGGAGTGAGTAACACTCAGTGGAAATCAAGCAGGGGTGGGGAAGGGATGAGTGAAAACCTACCTAACAGGTACAATAAACACTATTTGGGTGATGGGCACACTTATAGCTGTGACTCAAATTTTACAAAAATGATCCATTTAACACAAAACATTTGTATCTCCCTCCTTAATATTTTGAAAAAAATATTGTTTTTTGAAGTTTTTGGCTGGTGCTGGGTTTGACCCCACCACCTCCAGCATATGGGGCTGGTGCCTTAACCCTTTGAGCCACAGGTACCACCCCATATTTTGAAATTTTTTAAAAAATGGTTGATTTATTAGTCAAGAATGTATTGGACACTATATTAAATCTTTGCTGGATGTTATTAATGTAGTAATCATAATGGTCTCTGCTCTCTAATCCAAGAGATGCAATTTATTGTTCTGGAAGATTCTTGGTATATCAAGAGCTGGAAGATTTGTCATATTCAATGGAATTGATGCATAGATTTGGACTACTAGAACCTGGCTGAGGAAATTCTGTCCATAATGTTTTCCAATCCACAGCCTGACTGCACAGCCTCCACCCATTAGAAAATAATCCCTGCTCAGCTTCTCCACTGAAAGCTGGAAGACAAGGCCTGAGGTATGGTTCTACCATTGCTGTTGAATGTTCCCTCATCAGAGAGATTTCCACCTCTATATAAACCCGGATAAATTCTGAATATTTGGTAAACCAGGAGCTAATTTTTCACTTGACACATAGCAAAAATATGTCTGTCTAGATGTGCATTTGTCTCAGTCTGGAATGATCTCTATGTAAAGATGGTCAACAAAAAGAGCAGGCAAAGCCACAGATAAAAAATAATCATGATTCCAGGTTAGCTGAAAGGGTATTTGTGAAGATACTCGATGGGGCATCCTTACAGCCACCAGGCTGGAATATCTGTACAGACCTGTCCACAGCCACGTTGGCCAAGAACCCTGATATATCTTAACTCCATTCTCAGTTGAAACTAGGCAAACACAAAGAATGGATGTGAATTCTTTGTTAATCTTTGCTAGACATATAGTACATAAGAATGTTGGCTGAGAAGAAACCAAGAGTTGGTAAGAATCTTCTGCTCACATTTGATCTCCATACCCAACTTCTGGGATTACACTGGACAATGGCAGTAAGTCTGCTGATTGAACAAAAAGTCTTCCAGGGAAAGTATGAATGGAAAGATCTTTTATGCACCAAATCCTCATAACTGTCTCTAATATGGTTTCTCCAAGTCAGGTAGCTCTGTGGTTCTTTCTGTAGCTTCTGTCCTTGAACTGGATTATGCTGATGATGGTAAGCGAGATAGTAGTAGACATTATTTGCTGAATACCAAGAAGTGTAAGCAGAGAAGTCATATCAGAGCACTGATTGCTGAGAAGCTCCCTGCTGAGCAAAAAATCCAAGAATAATTTCTCATACAAGTCAGTGGGTGGTATCAAATGTATTTTCTTACAGATGATCTTTCCTCACATAGTTTCAGAACTTCCATTCCAAGAGCTGGGAGCTATACTGAAGTCATACTTCCCACCATCAGCTGAGAGTATCAGTCAGAGGGATCCTGAATTATAGGACGCAAGGCACTTGGGGTCTCCAGAGTTTTGATAAGCATCTCCAGAAAAGTTTGTCATAATCTTTAATAAGCTCTTGACTTTCATATATATTTATTAGTAAGTAATCTGGAATAAGTATAAAGTATCTTCACTATTGAAAACCATTGGCAGCTAACAGTAAGAGAGACCTTCTAGAAGACCGTAGAAATTGGTTGTACTGTCAAATGCTATGAAGACAATTTTTGTTCCAGGGCCACCAGAAAGCCTTGTGTTATGAAGGAGATATAAAATCAATAGTGTATTTTAACCTCCACATTTTCTGGGATGTTCTCAATAATTCTCTTAAAGGATTGTACCTGGATTCTTCAGAGAGATGGTTGATTCAGGAACAGAGTTACTCTTCCTTCTGCTTTCTTTGCTATAATTTAAAAATGTTTTAGAATATTCCCCCATTGATCAAGGCAAAATCATTATATTTAACATTACATTGAAAATTTAAAAAATAACTCTATTTTGTATGTAAATATATGTACTTACAACAAAGAAGCAAAATGACAAAACGCCACTGTTTTTCTTCCTTTTGCGAAAAATAAATGATATCATGTATGTTAAGAAGATAAGAGAAGCTGCGTAACCAGGTGTAATTATAACCTGAAGGGCATACAAATAATAGGATAGTCAAAAAATGAAACTTATCCAAGGGAAAAATTAAATCACAAATATTTTAAAAATATCTTATTACATATGCACTTTACATGGCTTTTTGGTTTATGACTAAACAAAAATTAAAATATCTTGATTACATAAAATAACACTGTTAAAATTTATTATTCATTACTTTATAAAATTTGGTATATGTACTGTGTGTTACTTACCATAGCACACGTAATTCGCGTTGTAACGTAAACATACTCCAGGTTTTCCATATAGAAAATGAGATAGATTAACAGGAGGAGTAGAAGGAAAAAGCCAATATCCACCAGGGCCTGCCCACACCAGTAAGCAGAGGTGTAGAGCCCAGAAATCCAGAGCTGGGACTTAGTTTTCTTCTACCAAAAAAACATATGGCATACGTAGATTCAGTTAAAATGCAAAGCTCAAAGAAACACATTGGAAAATTTTTTAAGATAAATATAACCTGGTCTTCTGATATTCTTAAAAATCGTTAAGCATTTACTGTTTAGGAACCTGAGATCTATAAAGTCAGTTTTATAGTTTTGAAGGTGGGCATTTAAGAAAAAAGTATATTATTTTGTTTGATAGATTTGTTTGCAAAACCACTTTAACTCATGAATAATGAATAGAAAAGTAGCCCTCAAGTTTTGTTTTGTTTTTTTTTTGCCTTGTTTGGTGTTAAAAAAGAATAATCTTGACAGGTGTAGTATAAGGTGACCAGATTTTAACATTGGTAAAGCGGAACACCATTGATGGGGGGGCAGGGGGTGGGGTGGTGGGGTGGAGGAGGGGTGTGTTCTTGATTAAAAATTTGGTCTATATGGAGCAACAAAAATTTTCATAGAATGCGAAAATAGTATTATAATTTTTTTAAATTTCAACATAAGTACAATTTACAAATATAATACATTAAAAAAAATTATGTATAGGGCAGCACCTGTGGCTCAAAGGAGTAGGGCGCAGGTCCACCTGGGTGACCTTGCCCAGGAGGGGAGTAGGGAGTTTACATTAGCCTTTTCATTTCCAAATGAAATTACATTAACCTCTTCATTCCCAAATGGAGTTACATTAACCTTTTCAGCAGCTGAAAACCACATATTCCCTTCCCGTTGTCCTGCCCTTCTCCAGATTGTCATGCATTCTTTCCAAAAATTGGGACTTTCTTAAAATGCCGTGGGAGGCAGGACAAATTGTTAAAAATCAGGACTGTCCCACCAAAAGCAGGATGTCTGGTCACCTTAGTATAATAGGCATGAGCTACTGTAATTCTAGCACTTTCGGAGGCCAAGGCTTGAGCTCAGGATTTGAGACCAGTCTGAGCAAGAGTAAGACCCAATCTCTACTAAAAATAGAAAAATTAGCGGGTGGTGCCTGTGGGTCAAAGGAGTAGGGTGCCAGCCCCATATACTGGAGGTGGTGGGTCCAAACCAGGCCCTGGCCAAAAACTGCAAAAAATAAAAATAAAAAAGAAAAGAAAAATTACCTGGGTTATTTTGGTGGGAACCTATGGTCCCAGCTACTGGGAGGCTGAGGCAGGAGAATTATTAGGAGTTCGAGGTTACTGTGAGCAGAGTGAGACTTTGTCCCCCCCAAAATAAATAAATTTAAAAAAAAAAAGAACAATCTTGAAATCAGAAGGCCTCAAGTAAGTCTCCAAAAAAAATCCCTGCAGTAAAAATAATTTTACATTTTTAGAGATAAATTTTCCTGACTTGCCAAAACAATGGTTAATTACATTTTGTAAATTAAATATATATTTAAATTTTTTTCTCAGAAGAAAATATTTTGAACGTATAGCATTAAAAATACAATTATTGAAATTCCTCAAGCTTCTCACCCTCTTTTCCTTACTTTGTAATCACTGATGCTGCTCATGGCAACATAAGGAGACGTGCTGCATATAACCAAAAATAAGAAAATGGAACCTTCTGGAAGCGTACTCCAGTATAATGCAGAGTTCTGGAAATATAGAAGGTACGTCAGTGAATAATTTTTATATGAAACAAATACTAATAACCATAAAGAATGTGCTTTTTGAAATATTGAAAAATCAAAGTATCAATGTAGTTTATCTACACATAGAGATGGGAGAGAAAATATTTCTAATCATTTATTGTCAGGCTTCAACTCAAAGAACTAGAACAAAAATGTCAAAAATAATTCAGGACCTACTTTTGGATATATTTCCAAAAGAACTGAAAGTAGGATCTCAAAGAGATGTCTGCATACTATGTTCCCAGTGATATTATTCAGAACGGCCAAGAGATGGAAGCAACCCACGTGTCCACATGAACAGATAATCACAAACACAGTGGATGCTAAAAAATGGACACATTTCATCGAAAAGAAAAAATCGTATAAAAATTGTAATACTCAATACACACCTATAACATTTGTTACGTTGTGTATTTTATCTTGTGTCTCTTGTAATTGCAGAAGTCAAATGTGACTTGAGTATTTCAATTTTCATACATTTTTCCCCATTCTTAAAAGTATGCGCTATTTTGGCACCCTCTGTGTACATACAAATATGTATGTGTATATATAAACACTCACAAACATGTGTAATACATACAATGCGATATTATTCAGTCTTTAAAATGTCCACTGCTTTCTGGTGTCTAAAGCGTCTATAGAAAAATTATAACCAGCTGACATGATCCTGAGACTGCAGCCTGTGTGTATCAGGTACCCCTGCACTGCAGAGCAATTGTGGGTAGATGAAGACATGAGTCAGGTCATGTAGCTCCAGAACCGGCAGAGTCTCCTTCCTATTAGTCACTCTATCACCTATGAGTGTTTAGTCAATGGAGGGTTCAATAACAAATAAAATTAGATTTATAAGATTCTAAGACAGGGCTACATGCTCTCCTGATTTTCATTTCAGTGTCTTCTCTCTTCTTTCTCTCTCTCCCCCTTTCTCTCTCTATCTCATACAGTTCTGCAAGTTTGCAAAACACTCCCTAAGAGAGCAACTATGAGGAAGTGTAGCAGCCCGTATAGCCTATGGCTAGGAGGAGTGAGAGTTACAGGAAATACCTGTAATGAACACCTTGGTGAAAAGGGCATGGAGAGAGATTTGGTTCTAACTACCATGAGAGAGCTCACAAGATGAGAGCACTGGTGAATTGGCAGTCCCTACACCTGTGGTGTTGAGAGGCAAAGATGAGCCTTACATTAGGCTGGAGGAGAGGGGAGTCAAAAAGCTTGCGCATTCTATTATGGACATGCTTACTCTGTCTCCCCTTCTGCCTGCAGAACGCCAGCAGGGCGTCTCTCTGCTGAAGATCACCAAGCTCTGCTAAAGACTAAGAGCTATCTGTTCTAAGAAGACTGCTTTACTCTAAGATACTCTCTCTCTCTCTCTCTCTCTCTCTCTCCAGCTAAAGCAGATAGCCCTCAAG